TATATATATACGTTACCGCAATTTATATCGCTTTTTTTACGTAATGGTGTTGTGGAGGATTACCACATCATCGTCGTCCATAAACTGATATAACGTATTCGTTTTAAAAAATAAATTGAAAGGACCACGTAAACTTAACTTTTTCCTCACACGTTTGACAACCCCAGAATACGTTATTGACGAAGACAAACGTATTGCACATGTAGGGGAGGTTATCGGAAGGTACTCTAAAACACCATTTATATCTTGGAATAAACCGTCACTTCGAAGATACACACAAACATTATCACTTTCACGTGATTTCATGTTTTGTGATGGTTGATTGTGTTTAGTGGTTAAAGGTTGTGATGGTTTATTGTGTTTAATGGGTTAARGRTTGTGAGAGTAAAATATATGAGAAAAGAAATGGAAGGGAATGTGTGAAAAATTATGAATTAGGAGGTTGGTATTTATAGTGAAATTGGTATTAGAAAAAAAAATTAAAATTTTTTTTTTTTTACCCGGATCACCCCCGGTACAGTAAGGATCGCCCCGGGGGCGAGGTCAAACACGGTCAACAAGGTGAACAGTAATCTCGACTTTTGAGGAATTTTTTTTAAGGCTTTTAAGGGGGATCGTCCCCATTGTCCGGGTGGTTATTTTGGCAAAACCTCTAAAATGTGGTTATTTTGTGGCAAATGGTTGTGTAAACCAGTTATTTTTATAAATAACCCTTTGGGATTGCTTATTTTAGGTTTTTTTTTTAATTTATTTCAGTCTGACATCGGTGATAAGCTAAATGTTAGTGTTTGGATGGGGAAAAATAAAAACTGTTTATACCGGTGCCAAACCGGTAATAAACAGTTTTTGATAAGTTAATCCTTCCTGACTTATGAAAAACTGTTTATTACCAGTTTACCATTTTAACCATGTTTTATTAATGTTTGTTAATTATTAATCTTATTAATATAAATTATTAATCTTATTGATATAAATTTTGTCGATAATATGAAAGACGGTCCTTTTTTGTCCTTTTACATATATAAGCAAAAATTTGTCAAACACTAAAAAACAACTTATCAGCTTATTGCTTTTTAGTACCGCTATAAGTTAATCCAAACACTCTTTACAAAACTCCTTTTTGATACCACATAAATTAATAAGCACTTTTACAAAAAAAACATAAGTTATTTTAAATAAGCAATCCTAAACACCCCCTTAATCTCAAACTCATCTATGGATAGCGTTTGGTATACGAATTGATCTGATGCATCTCATTTTAATGTACATCTACGAGTAGAGATATTTATTATGCTTCTTACATTTACTCTTCTTCTTATCAGAACTCAGCCCAAGTTGTACTTCCCTCTAGATTTTATCTGAATTACAAAGATACCTCTTTGTTTCAACAAAACATCTTTAGAAACATGGGCAACTAGTCTCACGAATAAGGTCGCTAATAAAGTCATGGGAATGCCCAGATCGGCATAAAACCCCATTTTTGAACTAGGGTTTGCTCATTCTTCAACCTCTTCGTTTATCTTTTGATTTGGGCCAATTTTGGTTGGTGCGATTTTGGTAGCTTTTGGATGGAAGATTGGAGTATTCCAAAGTCTGGATTGGAGATTTGAGTTGATAATCTTCAAGTTCTTGAGAAGATAAGTTTCTTGGGTGTTTTGAGCTTTATATGGGGATCTTTGTGGATTTGAAGCTTGTGTTCATTTTGGTGCATTTATAGACTTGGATTGTGGTATTGAGAAGATTCTTGGAGACCTTTGCCTACGGATCTCAGTCTTAACCTAACAATATGAGTTTTAAGTCGCTTAGTGAAAACTAAAATACATGTTAAAACTGTCTTGTTCAAATCTCCAAATATTTTCTTTATGATTTATCACCTATTCTGGTGCTTATTTGGGTTTATTTCACTTTGGGTGTATTTGATGTCATAAAGAAATTGGTGAAATACACACTGTTGGGTTGGTGGAGATTTTGAAAACACAGATCCAATGATTTTTTTTCTTGGTGGTTTATTGAAACAGCTGATGGTCTTTTTGACCTATATCGTGCTTTGCTAAATGATTCGTATAATATTTTGAGAAAATGCATATGTATTAAGTTGCTTGCATTTATCAAAGGATAAAGCATGTGTTGGTAATATTTAACGGTTTAGAACCATAAATGGAAGTTATGGTAAGTTTTTATACTAAATGGGAGCATTGTGTTGTATACGGATATTTAGTACATAAAAATGCAATAACAATTGGATGGGTGGGTCAAATAAGTTGTAAGTATTGTTGTTTAATATTGATTTATAAGAGTTTTGGGGTTTTGTCAATGATTTTTGACTCAAAAGTCTTGGGGGTTTTGCCCAACTTTGACTATCTAGTTTTATATTGGGATATTGAAGTGTACAGATTTGCAAAATTATTGAGAATTACATGTGTTGAGAGTGTTTATCATTCAAGTGTTGAGTCATGTAATTTGGGACTGTAATGTATTTGATCCATAGGCATATGAGTTAATTGTCAATAAATGAGGAGTTTTGATGTCCTCGCTTTATAACTAGAGTATTCTAGAGTAATCGTGAGCATTCCAGCGAGTCCTCGTCTAGATTTGGATACCGGGGCCATTAACTATTATGGTGTAACTTATATAGAGAATAAGTATGCAATAGGGGTGTTCATGGTTCGGTTTGGGCAATTTAATCATCCAAACCGCAATGGCGGTTTAAAACTTTTCCAAACCAAGCGGTTTGACCTCAATTGACCAAGCCAAACCACAAAAGGCAGTCTCGTCGGACCGAATTAGGCGGTTTGGGCCTCTTGTAGGTTTTAAACTAAAAAAATGTAACATCTATATCCAAAATTAGATTTCTACCAATATAACAATATTAAAAAATGGTATACATAATTTGGAGGTACAAGATTGTTCTCTTATTTTTACAAAACATAGGTGTTCTTATTTGAACCCCCCTGTAGGATGTATGTATGTGTGTGTGTGTATAGAGAGAGAGAGAGAGAGATAGTTAAGGGAAAAACTCCCAAGAAAATGAAAAACTGAGGAACACTCTGGTAACCATTTACTTAGGTGGTATACACATGTACATACAAGTGATTAAAGTTGTTTATTGGTTTTTATGCACGTGTGCATATGCATATCGGACAAGTTACTTATAAATTACATGTATTCACATGTGCATACCGTTTAAAAGAACTGTTATCAGGGTGTTCCTTAGCTTTTCATTTTTGCGGTTTTCCATCGAAACTGGCTATATATATATATATATATATATATATATATATATATATACATAATATTTGTATCACATAAACTTGTTGATCGTGGAACGGGTTGACGATACTATGTGCAAAATAAATAATTTTAATTTTTGAAACTATCATTTATTGATTTTGCGTCTAGTAATATTGGAAGAAATATTTTTGAATGACTTATTAGCATTTTT